CTTAATTATATGAGCACAACAACATGGATGGGCTAAGCGAATGAAGGCAATATTTTTATTATTTTAGAAGTTAAATAAAAAATAAGTATTCTGTTTTGAACTGAATTAAAATTTCTTCCATTTTTTGTAAAATTAAGTTTCATTCCTGTACCATAGAAGTTGCTTTGAAAAAACTTTCGTTCTGTTACTGGCGTGACTTAATTAAGCGAGCACAAGTGTATATTAAAGAAATTATTAAAGGAAAAGGTGGAATCATTACACCTGTTTAGATTGAGCCATTAACGTATGTATGTATATAGTATATGTATATGAATCGGAAGTTCGAAGCCACAATCGCCAATCTATGTACATATATGGAGTAAAGTCGGCCGGATGTTCGAAAATTATGATAGTTATTAGCTCTATAGGGGCTAGGTCGAGTTTTCGACCGATTTTATTCACTTTAGGCACATTTTAGGTACAAAGAGATGTTATTACTCAAAACACGCTCTCTCGTTTTCATTTAAATGGCTCACATATTGGGCGATATATGCGGCTTAAAGTCACTCGGAAGTTCCAAACCATTTATAATATGTAAATCGGGGCTGAGGAATTATTGACCCATTTTTATCGCGCAGACATTATCTTAAGGATTTTATCTTTCGGTAAAAAGTCAACTATAGACATTAGGATCCACATATTCGGTAGCTAAGGACTTGAACCGTTCGATTTGAACAATTTTTGGTCATAAGGTCACTGCAACGCATTAACCGAGAAATTTCCATCCCGCTACAGTAATTGGTGCTTTATTTGTATACTAAAATGTGAAAGAATCAGATGGGAATTAAAATTGTGTTATGTGGGAAGTAGGCGTGGTTGTAGTCCGATTTACTCCATTTTCACACTGTGCCATAGAAGAAGAATTTTGATTAATCATACTTTAAGTATATTAAAAAACGTTATATTGGGAATCGGCGGAGTCGTTGTAAAGGTTAAAAAGGTTTATTTATTTGTTTCAAAGATATACTTTATATACATACATTAAAGTTATTATGGTGCCTTGTGTAAAATTTTAGTTCTCTATCTTACTTTACGGCTTCGATCACATCATGTGGACAGCTCAACTTTTTTCATTATTAAATTGTAATACTCTACGAAGTGTAGATTGTGAATTTAAATTCAGTTAGAAATATACTACAATAGTTGAAAATTTTCAAAATTTTCAGATCAGCATACAAATGACTTCACATAACCCCACAAAAATTGTCAAGCGGTATTAAATCGCACGAACTTGGAGGCTACGCTACAGACCCACGAGGGGATTGGTTCCGTTTTGTTGGAACCAAAAGTCGTCCACATCTTTCAATTCAAATTGGATGGCCGGCAGCAAATATTAACGTTTTGAGGTCACCAAATGGAGATTCCAAGTATAGCCATGTCTTCGTCCACTTGGTTTTTCCAACGGAGTGCAGATCTTCCTCTTACTCTGCTTCCCCCGGTGGGTACCGCGTTGAATACTCCCGGAGTTGAAATGTTTTCACCACTGTCTCTTAATTCGCTGAACTATGTCAATGTTGTCATATATCTAGCATAGTTCACTGTTCTATTATCTGGGATCATTAATCTTCCGCAGAACCTTTCTCCACACTCCCACTAATTGGATATTGTTATCATCCATGCCTTTGCACCATATATCAAGACGAGGATGATGTGTGACTTGTATAATTTGGTACTTGTTTGTCGAGAAGGGACTTCACTTCTCAATTTCTACTCAGTCCGAAGTGGCACCTATTGGCAAGACTTGTTGCGAGTGTGTCGAATGTTTATCTGATTACAAGATACTGGAGAAAGCAGAACTAACGGCGCGGTTGTTTCTCTTTTAGAAGATTGAACCTTCTCTATACAGCTCGATTTATTTTCTCGAGAAGCGAACGATAAAGTGTCGCCTTGTCTGAAAGCTCGTTTGGTATCGAACGGCTCGGAGTAGTTTTTCCCGCTATTGACGGAGCTTTTAGTATTTCTTAACGTCGGTTCATACAGCCGTATTAGTTTTGCCGGTATACCAAATTAAGATATCGCGACATTAACGCAGCTCCTTTTCGTGCTGTAAAAAGCAGCTTTAAAATCGACGAAGGGCAATCCATAGGTATTCTACAGGTGGTGTTCTCTTGCTCTTTTTACGGGTCTTTCCCAAGATATGGCGCATGGTGAATATCTGGTCAGTTGTTGATTTTCCACGCCTGAAGCCACACTTTTCTTTAATCTTTCACACAATACGCTCGATAGAACCTGATATGCAATTTTGAGGAGACTTATTACACGGTAGTTGGGGCAGATTGTGAGGTCTCCCTTTTTGTGGGTTGTGCAGAGCATACTTAAATTCTAATCGTCGGGCTTGCTTTCGTCCGACCATATTCTAAGCTGCTTTGTTGTTCTTCAGACGGGTAATTGCTTTCGAACTTTTTCATGGTCGGGTAATGGAACGTCTGCTTCATTGTCAACGATTGTTCAATCGGGTTTGCCATCTCCTGGTGTTATGCCATTCAGCAGGCTGAAGAAGTTTTCCACCCATAATTTCAGTATGCTCTACGCATCAGTTTGTGAATCATCAAAGAGATCAAATGATGAGAATCGTGAATTCGCGTTGCGCTAACCATACTATTATTTAGGTAATAAATTTGCACGATACGTACTTACATACATACGTATATCAAGTAAAAGCTGCCTGAAAGATAAATTCCGAAAAATTCCCTTTATTTGCAATGTCGTTTCAACCAAGTAAAAGTTTTTACACGATCTCACAACTTTGAACATTAGACAATTATGCAGCGAAATCGATTTTTATTTTGAATATTAGACCAAACTAACTTTTTCCTGAAATTGAAGCGTAAGTAAAAAAGTTATTCGTAAGTTTCTTGCATTTAGCCTTCGAAATCGAATTCTTTAACTTTAAGTTCGAATTTGGTTTTATATTACAATTTTTCGAAACAAATTGGTTTCTAGTAATTTCTACAGTTTCGTGCTTACGTTTTGCAAAATCTTAAAAAATATACAAAATTGTAGTGACTTTCATATTTAGATAATTGCCTTGTATCAACCACTGACTTAGAATCAGAGTTCATTGACCAAAAAGTACCCGGAAATTGTAAATAACAATACATATTATCGATCGACTGAAAACGGGTTCCACGGAGCGGCAATTTCAGTTTGAGGAACAAGAAAGAATAACACGGAGTCATTTTTTCTCTCCGTTCCGATGATTGTCGACTTCTTTGCATCTCACACTAATAAACCCATATCTCATCGGCAGTTATAATGTTCTCCATCATTGTGGCATCCAAATTCGCACGATCAAGCATGTCTAAAGGGACTTGTTTATGGTAGCATTTATGAAAAAACTTCAGCGTTATTGAGACGAGTCGAGCATGCACGCGTTTCGTATCCAAAATACCCACCAAATTAATCGAATGGACTCCCGAGAGATGTTGAGCTCTGTTGCAATCTCTTTAACACTTTGCTGACCATTTTCAAGTACCATAACCTTCATTTTTTTTAAATATTTTCATTTGAAGAGGTGGATGGTCATCCAGAACGAGGCATGTCTTCTCCGACCGCTCCGCCGACTTGGAAGGCTTTGTACCACTCGTAAACTTGCGCCTTTTCTAACCTTCGCAACGATACGAATACAAAATTTGAGACAAATTTTTTTGTTCGCAAATTTTATCTATTGTCGTGATTCACAAAGACCTTCGGTCTTTCGGTCAATTGTTTAACAATATTACCTTAAGACAGTATCAATTCCAGACGTCTCATTTATGTGGATAGTGTGCGAAATTATGGTCGCGAAGGGCGTTCTGCAATAAAAAACCGATAGATATACATATGTATGTATTTACTTGCAATAAATTTTACTTTGCCCGGGCCTTGAACTTCCGATCCACAGATATGAATTTTGTGCACTCGGCAACGGCAGCCGCAACAACGTTTCGTGTTGCAATATCTACTATCGGTATATTTTCCAAAATTTGAGCAAGAATTTCACTTTTCTCTTAAATGATAAGCTACAATATTTTATTATAAATAATTAATATAAAATTTAACGCTTTACGGAATTTATTTTAAATAAGCCGAAGTGTGTATTTGTTGCAAAATTCTAATTAACTTGCCCATTGTTTTCGTGTAAATAAAGCCATTCGACATAAACAAATTAGTATGCACCTCCCCACTTTTACCTACGAGCACACACTTTCACAGACTTGTAGTGGGGCTAGTATTTTTTGTTGGTGTAGGCATGGCATGAGTAAGTCCCAGTCCCAGTCCCAGTACAAGTGCCGCACATGAAAATGCTTTTCCGAAGCAAATAAAATGAGAGATAAACGCACTCGCAACAACACACCACCACATACACAAAAGCACACATGCAAACTACTGGCACACTTGCCATAATGGGCGTCCCGCATCTGTAGGAGAGTATGTGTGTGATAATGTGGTTGTGCTCCTCGCCTGTGCATAAATGAATATTGCGATATTTTGTGCATTTCGTCGATATTCTCCATTTAACGGCGTAGTGTGTGGAAATTCGGCGAAATCGGGTCTCAATTGAAAGACGTCTACGATATGTGTGTTAAACAGACACTCGCGCAGCCACAGCAAAACAATGTTTATCAAATACGCAACAACTAGTAGGATAAAGGGAGGGGAGGACGGATAATATTTATGATGAAATGGTCATTGTGAGCAATAATAAAAATTTGTTTATTTTTCATTCTAGATTAATATGGAGAAGCGTAGAAATACCTTGGATCGTTTCCAACGTTTGGGTTTTGGTCGGAAGTCGACTCCAGCATCGAGCGGGGCATCAGCGGACGGCAGTGGCTCGTCGCGAAATCGAAAATCGAACGAAAAATCCGAAAGACTAAGAGAACTAACTGAGCTACTGCGCGGAAATAGATCCTCGCCAACTCCACCGCCTGTACCGCCGCCACGTAAGCCGCGTAATGGATCACATTCAGCGTCGAATAGTTTGGAGCGGGCAGACACACAAGTGCACACGCCTGCAGTGAGGACTGCTTCTGCCGGCACTTATTCCATTGAAAGTCTCGAGCCGCCAACGTCATTCACGTCAAATCGCGTTGATGACATCATGTTGATGGACCAGGAGGAGGACCAAGCTGCAAACAAGACGAAATCAGGTGTTGGCGATTGTGCAAAACAAATCAATAATTCCTCGCTTGTGGCCTCAACAGCAGCAGGGGAAGATGTAGCTATGCGAACTGGAGCAGCAGCGGCACAAGCATCAACAAACCGTTTATACGATACACTCAAACCAAATACGAGTCTGTCGAATTTTGAATCGTTAATGAGCAGAGAGAAATCAAAGTCACCGTCGCCGCGATCTTTTGCTAACATCGTTGCGAGCAGCGCTGTGCATATGGACGATGCGCGACTGGCCGACAGTTCAGGTATAGCTACGAAACTAGCGAGACCAGAAGCTCGCACGGTAATCGGTTCATATACCCAAAAGGGTATACCGTTTCGGTCGGCGTCATTTTCACAAATTGACCTTTCATCTGGAAAGTACAAAAAGTCTTCGTGGAGCGCATTGCGTGATCGGTTGTGGCGTGACAAAGTTGTTGGCTCAGTGGATTCAGCAACCAATACGAAAAGGCCAAGTAATAGTGAAGAGGCGAGAAACGTCTTGACTCCTGCAGTACAAATCGAAGGGAAAGTGAAGTCCGAACCCGATTGGATTTACATTCCATTGAAGAAGAAATCCGAAATGAGTATTAATTTGAACTACGGCCAGGATATGAAGAGTTTAGAATCGCCAGACGTTATACCGGAGGAAGATATATTTAACACCGATTTGGAACATGCATCGACTACTACAGAAGACTGCAGTGCTGAAGTTTTACAGCACAACCTCGTTATTGCGCACGCGAAAATGGAATCGTTGACAGATACAATACAATCTGAAAATGACTACACCATTGATGCGAAAGAAGTTGCGGTCACTATTGAACCAGTGCCGGCAGTTGTGGAGGCGGAGGAGGGTGCAGTTGAAAAAGCCAAAGTGATTGAACAGCCGGCCATTCTAGAACCCATTATTGCCGATGTTATCGAACCAAATGTAGCCACTTTAGTGGAAGAAAGAATCGCCTTAGAATCTCCGCCAGACAATTTCCTGCAGACGGCTACCACATGTCTTATACCAGTGCCAGTATATGAATGTGCTGCACAGGATTGGCGCTTGGAGAACCCACCCCAGGAGTGGGTGGAAGTGCAACCTGAAGAGTTTGGCATTATACCGGAAACAATAGAGCCACTACACTCACTAAGCGATTGTGTGAATGTGAAACCTATACCAAAAACCGCGCAGGAGTATCGTGTGGAAAATGTACCGACGATCTCAGTCAGCCGTTCCTCTGAAGAGGCAGATGATAAATGTATTTTAAGAAGAAAAGACACGTTCGACGAGGAATTCAGTGATCTCGTAGAGCGCCGTCAAGCTTCAATAGATACTGCAGAGCTCAGTAAACGATATAGCCAAGACGATATAGATGTCGGAAAGGAAAAGCGAGCGTCATTTGATGCAATCACTACACGACACAGTGCAGACGAACGTAAACGTATCGATAAGTCGAAACGAAGGAAGGGTATGTACATTGACAATGCTGCGTGGAATGAAGCTGATAGTGTAGAAGCGCACAATCGACTGGCACTTGACATTTCATTAGCAACCAACATGAATGTGATTAAGCCGAATACATCGGAGGATTGTGGTATTATGTATATTAATAGCCCACCCACTGATGAAAACAGAACTCCAGGTTCGCTATACTCACCCGAAATAAATACTCCCGAATCTGATAAACCACTAGTTTGGACAAAAGCTGATCGGCTTACTAGTTTTAGCCTGCAAAGTTCCGAAGAGAAAGATGAATTACAGAGTGGGAGCCTTAGTGCGAGTAGTGGCAATGCTGCATTAGCTGGTCTTTCTCGGAACAATAAAAGTTTTCCCTTTCTGCGCACAGATTCGGTGTCTGATAACGAGAGCGATCGAGGTACATCGCAATGCCGACAACGTGCCAGCCCCAGCCCCGTTCCAGGCGATTACGATTTCAAACGATTTTCCAAACGACCACTACGTGGACCATATGGCCAAATGTTGGAGAAGGAAATGAAAAAGCCTAATAAAATGCACTACGAGGAAATTTTAGAAGACCTTCGCGAGTCCGAAATGTAAGTATAAAGAATAGTTTAAGAATTTCAGAACTTTTAGTAACATTTATTAAATAAGCAAAAATATTTACATATATGGTATATAATATGAACCCCCAGCTCATCGCAACCACGTCGCACACGTGCCGCCTACGATGACTCCAGCGCCCTTACAACAAACACAACGCGCAACATACCTCACCATTCGAACTCGATGCGAGTTCGCAAGTCGAACACATACCTGCCCGTACCTGCTCACACGCGTGCTGCGTCCACACCTTCCAAAATAGAGAATGTGAATAAAGACAGCGGTATCGGCAGCTTGGATAAGATAAATTCACACGAAAAACGCTACCAAAGCACTTTGGATAACTCCGTGACTCGCGATGATAAGAATTATCTAGATGCAGGTCATCATTATGCCCAACAACATTATCATCAGCGCGAAATCAAACGCGCTGCCTCCGAAGCTCCGGTCCAGAAAAGCCATCACAGCAAACGCAGCCAGTCTATGAGTGGTGAGAAAAACGCCTCAGGCGGCAATCACATAGCACATCAAGCGAAGCGAAGCCTTGATGCGACCACTGGCGCAGGTGCCAAGGCCAAAAGCGGCGCGGGTAAAAACTCAACTGTGGTGCCATCACAGGAACTGCTGGCCGAGTTGCTGAAAGGCTCCAGCGAAAAGTTGATATCTGAGCAGAGGAAACAAATGGCTGCGGTAAGTTAAAGTCTGCACTTTACTACGTCGTAATAGAAAATTTATAAATTTCCGGTTGCGTAGACAGTGGCACGCAAAAGTGTGCCGTCAAATACTGAAGTTTCATTACTTTTGTGTTCTACTATACGATATTGAGTGTTTCGGTTCTCCGTGGTGCTACTAAAATGTTCACAATCGCACGAGTTATTGTGTTTACTAGTCGCCGGAAGACGTTGCTAGAGCAAAGAACAAATCGTTTTGTAAGCATCGACGCCGTGTGACAGGTTTTGTTCATTTCACATTTAACTTCGGCAATCAAGGGCTCATCGGGAGGCACTAAGAAGCCAGAGAGTATTTGATTAAGTGTCCGCACATGCACGTATATGTATATGTGACCTGGTCTACGAAAAGGGAGGTAACGTGCGAAAACTAGTTTCTGGGAAACAGCTGTTAAAAATCTCATCTTCCATCCGGATCAACTAAAAAGTGAAAATTGATTTTTTGGATTTTTTGACACCTAAGCCCCCTTTCCGTAGACCAGGTCACATATACAGTTATGCCTAAATTAATGGTAGTGCGAGTGAGGAAATGCTTTTATGCGAAACGAAATGATAACTTTGTAGTGGCAATTAGACTTGATCTGTTTCTGTTTTCAGATTAACATAACTAAAGACTAAAGTAAGCGTAACCCTTTTTTACAAGACCTATGTCGAAGGATCTATACATTTGATGAAAGCCTTTAAATTATAGCTTCGTATCAAATTTAATATACCCTATTCAGAGTATGATATATTCTTATCTATTACAACGGTACCAAGTGTCTAAAATGAAGAAAACTAAAAACATGTGGCCCAGACAAATAAACTGGACGAAGATATCTTTGAATTAAGTATACCCAAGCATTAGCTCTCGGAAGATTAAGTATGAATTCAATCATAATGTGAGTTTAGCAACAATTAGAAGGCATTTATTAGATCCCAATTTAAAGCAACCCACACATATTTAGCACATTTAATTTCGTGACACTAGAAAAGTCAATGTAAAAATGTCGAAATGCCGAAATATTTTATGAACAGATGAATGTAAATTCGTGTTTGAAATATCGTCAGCTATAAGGTTGAATCATATAAACTAATATAATGTGTTTTTTTAATCCCTTTTCACCGTCAGGGATACATGACATTATTTATGGTCAGACGCTGCTTTTCTTGCAAATATGGGTGGCCTATAAAGAGAGTTTAAGGTACCATATGGACCATATTAAATATATAATTAACGGAGTATGTCATAGGGTTTCATGAACGAGATGTTGGGAAGGTGTGACTACAGTTTATAATTTTTCTAATTATTAGTTGAATAGTTTTATAATTTTAGTTCACGATCAACATTTTTAGATTTTTAGTAAATTCTAAGTAATTTGTAGTTCCCCTGCTATTTTATGATGACAGGAATGCTAAAAAAATGCTTCAAAAAACAAGCTTTAAATTTGTTAATCACCAGTGGCATGATTATCTATTATACTTGACTACTACAAGTTGAATTAAATTTGAACTGACCTTTTTTTGGAAAGGCGAAAGCACTTTTCTCATCCATAAGTTAGCACTGTTTTTTGTGAACATAACTGTACTATATAAATAAATATGGAAGTGTGTGGATTGTTACTACTTAAGAAAATATGCGTAATTCATTGGATTTTGAAATAAAATACAATAGTTCAGGTTTCGGTCGGTCAAAAAAAAAAAAAAAAACTAAATCCCCTATAAAACTGGAGTTTAATAATTTTAAATGATATTTTTTCATTGAGTCAAAAAATGTATAAAAAAAATTTGGCTTAAAATAATGGCATTCAACCGCTTATAGCTTCTGTTGAGCATTTAATATCCTAACATGAAGCATGATATGTTTTCATTGAGATTTGCATTTTTTATGTGATAATAAGAAACTAGAAAACTCTAAGGTGAATAACATTCACGTTACAATTAAGAGCTAATATTTGTAGAGGTGTCGTAGAACCTATTTCTCCGAGTACCAAGCCAAAACAACAACGTAAAAAAAAACGGAACAATTAGTAAAAATCAATTTATCAATTTATTTTATTGAAAATAGTCTCCATCTGCTTCAATTCAACTTTTTGCGGTCCAAAAGCATGTCGAACAAGTGTTTTAGCTCGGTGGACGGTATGGCCGCCAGTATGCCGGTGCAAGCCTTTGAATTGCCTTTACGCCTGCATATCGCTTCCTTACATGAGAAAAAGCATTTTTCCGAAAAGGAAAAAGTCACACGGTGCCATATCAGGTGAATACGGGGAATCCGATAAATCGATGCTTTTGAGATGTTTAATTCCTAATGAATTCATGCATAGTTTCGATTGGCCTACACGTTGATCGTCATTTATGTATGTCGTCACGACCACTTTGAAAACGTTGAAACCACTAGTGTACTCTGCCACGGGTTCGGCAGTCATCGCCATAAACTTGTTTCATAAATTGAAACGTTTCGGTGAAAGTTTTACCAATTTTAAAACTAAATTTAATGTTGGCCCTTGTTCGAAGCTCATTTTCGCACCTATAATGCAAACATACTGATTTCCAATTTATGAATTCTCATTGGACAATCGATATAGATAACAGATTCTAACGCACCAGTCGACATATAGATGGCGCCACCAGGGGCGCTAGATTCCTGTTTACTTTGGAAAGCACCTTGTACCACTATGAGCTAAAAATAGTACTTTCATCTAAATTTTAATTCTTAATTTATTCACCAAAATATATTTATGTCTCTCCTTAAAGTAATATTTCTTGGTCTTAATACACCTGTGCCAATGTTTTGTTTTTTCAATCCTCGAAACAGTTCTTATAGTCAATTTCCGGAATGGCCTTCAAAGCGCATAGCGACTCACATTTAATGTCTTCAATCACCTCAAAATGGTTTTCCCGGAGCTGTTGTTTGAGTTAGCTGAATGGCTTTGTATTCTTTGTTGACAGTTTGGCCGCTCAAAAAGAACTCGGAGTACACCACACCTTCTAAATTGCAAAAACTGTCAACATAACCTTATTGCTGACCTGTTTTGACGTGTTTTTTTCGGGTTGGGCTCACCTTTGCCATGATATTCGGCCATTTCATCTGTTTCCGGGTCGTAAGCATAGATCCAAAACTCATCGCCAGTGGCAAAACGTTGCATGACAACCTGGTGATCGGAAAGCATTGTTTCACAGGTGTATATTTACCCTTTCTGTGGTCTAATGAACCTCAGTTATATGCATTGTTGAATAGAGAACTCCTCTCAACTCTAATCTGGAACGCAGCATTGTGCCGTACGCCATCTAAGATGCTTGGACTTGTGGGCCTACCAAAATTCCGCCTTGATTTCCCTTAACATTTATATTTTAAATACCAACGGATTTGATCCCTTTTTGGTCTATTCTGGTCGTGTATCTAAAGTTACCAAAAATACTACAGTTACAGATGGACATTTACTATATTCATACCTATAGAAAAATTCCATTATATCTGAAATCCCGTGTCACCTTTGATCGGAATTCACACTTGTCTAGTCCAAAGGCATTCAGAACTTCGAACTCATACCTATTTCTCGAAATGAATTTCTATATTTTAAGATCTTCGAAATCTTCATGACTTTACTTTTAATGCTGTTTCGATAGGTTAGGATAACCTTGCCGAAAGCGTAGGGAAAAATAGAGTAATTTTGTACCGTTGTTTTCAAGTTGACACCATTTACCGTTTCCGTGAAAACTGCTGTCAATTGACCAAAGAGAAAAGTTCACAGCGGCGTCGACGCGAGTTAATACAGTGGCATCCAAATTGCAAAAGTTTGGAAAAGAGAGCTTGCAACATTGTGCGCATGTAGCCATTCCCGTGTGCTTTCACAATGCCTACCATAAGTATAAACAAGCCGAGGGTAGTGTTTATGTTTGTGGGAGCGCGAAAATCTAATTTCACCGTGTTTTCCAGCCGATGAAGAAACGCTTTTTTTGCTCACATGTCGTAAACATGTCTGTATGTATATTTTCAATTGTGCTGTAGATATTGCGTAGAAATAATATGTGGCTTTTTTGTGCTTATCGCCAAAATGAAATTACGAAGTGACCTGGTGGGCCATTCGTGTGGCTTTCAGCTCCAAACACTTGTTGTTGCCGCTACAGGTCTCCGAGCGCACATTCCTACGGACTTCCGTGCGTTTTGTAAGAAAGTTTTTCAATTGCGGCGCTCAGAGAGCGCACGTCGAAAATATACACAAAGACAATATGGAAAGGAAGAAGAGGAAGAAGCAAAGAGACAAGCGGAAGAAGAAGAGCGCGAGTTCACCAAGAAGAAGAGGCGCTAGTGGTGGTAGTCGCAGCGAAGTAGCGAAAATTTAGCCTTTTTACGTGCGTCGGTTGTGGCGAAAAATTGTTTAATTTGTTTTATTTTTCACGTCGAACATTTAAACAACGCATCAAACAATTAAGTTTCCATAGTTTAGGCGCGAATACAAAAATAAAAAATTGACAAAACAACAACAATAACAAAATACAATCATTTAAAAAACGAAACGAAAGTGACCACCAGAAAACCCAAACAACACATACAAAAAGTAGAACAACCGTTGTCGGCAACACTTGAAAAATTTCGGATTTTCTGTAGGAAAACGCTTTCTAAATGCTTTGCTGTGAAATTGTGTACCAGGAGGAGGCCAATAATTGCAGCTGAAAAGCTGATGTTGAAAATTTTCAAAACCCCTATGTGTATGTATGTGCGTATAGGCGTCTGTCCAGCCCGATAACCAGCTGCAGGCATGTGACTTTGTGTGTTGGGTGTGTGCGTTCAATGGCGCACGAAGACGTGCGAAATATTTTCGAAATTTGCGAAATCTGCATCTGGCGCGGACACGGCTTGTATGTTTTGAATATTAGTCTAGGAAAATCAAGAGTGCCAAAGCTAACAGCAACAATAAAAAATGTATAAATTTTCAAATACGCAACTGCAAAGCAAGGCGTTCGTATATGTGTGTGTGTGTG